TTCTAATTCATTTTTTTTCTGCATTCTTTCATATATGAATACATCATCAATGCATTGTTACTACAGAGAAACATTTTACATAATAATCTGGTATTAAAATTAGGTGACTTAACTACCAATTTCTGTCTTACTGACCAAGTTTATCTTTAAGAAAATAAAAGTTTTGGGGCACCTGGGTGGCTCAGTCAGTTAAGCATCCGCCTTCAGCTCAGGTCATGATCTCACAGTTTGTGGTTTCAAGCCCCATGTCGGGCTCTGTGCTGACAGCTCAGCCTGGAGCCTGTTTCAGATTCTGTATCCTCCTCTCTCTCTGACCCTCCCCTGCTCATGCTGTCTCTCTCTTTCTCAGAAATAAAAAACATCAAAAAATTTTTAAAAAAAGAAAAGTTTTGGGGGCATCTGGTTGGCTCAGTCAGAGCATATGACTCTTGATCTTTTTTTTTTAAGTGTTTTATTTATTTCTAGGAGAGAGAGAGAGAGACAACGTGAGCAGGGGAGGGTCAGAGAGAGAGGGAGTCACAGACTGAAACAGGCTCCAGGCTCTGAGCTGGCAGTCAGCACAGAGCCCGACGCGGGGCCCGAACCCACAAACCGTGAGATCATGACCTAAGCAAAAGTCGGGCGCTTAACCGACTAAGCCACCCAGGCGCCCCATGACTCTTGATCTTAGAATGGTGATTTCTAGCCCCATGTTGGGAGTAGACATTACAAAAAAAAAAAAAAAGGGAAAGAGAAATGAATTCAACATATATTAATATGGAATGGCTCTGGTGTCTTAAAACATGTCAAACTTAAATATTATACTTATTACTTAATAGCCCATGATCTATTTATAAACGTTCATTTACGTTATTTGGATTGTGAAAGGAAAACATAAAGCATAAAATCAACACTTTTTTTTTTTAAAGATTTTATTTTTAAGTAATCTCTACACTCAATGTGGGGCTTGAACTCACAACTCTGAGATCAAGAGTCACATCCTCTTTGAACTGAGCTAGCCACGTGACCCTAAAAGTCAACACTTTAAAAAAAACTGAAAATCGGGGCACCTGGGGTGGCTCAGTCGGTTAAGTTGCCGACTTCGGCTCGGGTCATGATCTGGCGGTTCATGAATTCGAGCCCCGCGTCGGGCTCTGGGCTGACAGCTCGGAGCCTGGAGCCTGCTTTGGATGCTGTGTCTCCCTCTGCTCTCCCCTGCTCACACCCTGTCTCTCAAAAATAAATAAATGTTTTAAAAAATTTATTTAAAAAAAAAAACCCTGAAAGTCATTTAGGAAATTTCGAGGAAAAATCTAAATATAACCAACCTCTTATGTGAAATGGGAGAGAGATAATTGACAATTTATGGGCTGGAAATTATAGTAAGTTTAGCTTTTTTATTTTTATTACTCTCATTGCTAAGATCATGTCTGTATCATGAAAAAATCTCAGCACAGTCTATGCATGTCTTTTTATTTATTTATTTATTTATTTTTATTTTTATTTTTTTTAAATGTTTTATTTATTTCTACGAGAGAGACAGCATGAACAGGGGAGGGTCAGAGAGAGAGGGAGTCACAGACTGAAACAGGCTCCAGGCTCCGAGCTGGCAGCCAGCACAGAGCCCGACGCGGGGCTCGAACCCACAAACCGCAAGATCATGACCCAAGCGAAAGTCGGACGCCTAACCGACTAAGCCACCCAGGCGCCCCTATGCATGTCTTTTAAAAGCCCACTTGACATTCTCCTTGGCATATCAACATTTCTGAGATGAGGATGGTGGTAAGGGAGCTTGGGCATGGGGTTTGGTAGGGGGACAAAGGAGTTATGGGTAGAGTAGTTGTCTCCTAATATTAACCACCAAAAGATACTTCCTTGGAAAGTGATTAAGCAAATCTGGAATATTGATTTCTAGGTCTTCTTCAAAGGTGGTTGGTGTCCCTGTGCACAGACTATTCTCAGGAAGGCCTATTTACATCCAATAAATTCTATGTATTCCTCTGCAAAGACATTTGTGTTTGTGTGTGTATATGTGTATGCTGAATCATGCTCTTTATCTGAGCACTTTCTCACAAATCAAAAGAAAAAAGAATAGAAACAACAAAAAAGTAGAACATATTTTTATAATGAAGTAGTAGTTAGATGTAGATAAAATAGGATGTTTCAGGGGCACCTAGGTGGCTCATTCAGTTAAGTGTCCTACTTTGGCTCAGGTCACGATCTCACGGTTTGTGGGTTTGAGCCCTGCATCGGGCTCTGTGCTGACAGCCAGCTCAGAGCCTGGAGGCTGTCTTCAGATTCTGTGTCTCCTTCTCTCTCTGACCCTCCCCTGTTCACGTTGTCTCTCTCAGAAATAAATAAAACATTAAAAAAAAATAGGATGTTTCACTTATATATCTTCACACAAAGCAGTTTCTTCTGTTTTATCTCATTTGATCCTCTCTATGAAGAACTGTTATCCTTATCTGTATGTGAAAAAACATGAAGCTCAGAAGAGTTCAACTACTTGCTTACTTCGCATGACAAACAAGTGAAGGAACCAACCAGTTCTGATATTCATCTAATCCCAAATCAAGTGTTCTCTACTACACATATTGTATTATTCCTAAATAGGTATCATCTAATAGGTTAATATTTTATAAATGGAACTTGCACCAAGTCTATAAGAAGGGGTTCAAGCACAGTATTTGTCTTTATGATTCAAGATTCTAGAATTCTAGTTCTAGAATCTCTAAATGACTATCTCCCTAAAAACCCAAAACAGAAAGTCTAGAGTAGTGCTTTGGTACAAATGCTTGCCTTCCCTATAAATTCACTTCTTTTGAAAAAAATATTTACTGAATATAAGAAACAAATACAAAGATGAATGTAAGATTTTCCCTTTTGGTGAACTAAAAAGTCTAATTGTGTTTGACTGCAAACAATATATAAGGCTGAATAAGGTAAGCGCTGTAATAGAAGGACATAATAGAAGCAGATGAGAGGGTCCTGAGCTAAGCTTGGTACTACAAGTCCAAATGAGAGTTAAATGTTTTTCTCATTCTTTTCATTTATCCCTCTCTAGAGAGTACACATTATTGCAAATTTCTGTCATAATCATGGTTCTCAGGGCCCATACTCTTTAAAATCTTTAATTTCATATAAGAACTCAGCATTTGGCAGTATCTCCAAGTAACTACACTTCGTATCACTTTCTTGATAATTCATTTAAATCATCTGTAGGTGTCATGTTTTCCTCCCATCCCTCTGCAGCTAAGTCTTGTTCTCTGAATTTTTTAAAATGTTCTAAATGTAAAAATTATAGAGAAGATTTTGTAAACCACTTATAAGTCTTTTCTAGACTGAGAGAAATCTGGCTGTTAATTGTGTGTGTATGTGTTTGTGTGTATTTACCAAAGGGAGCAGCACATATGTGTATATGTGTATATAATACATATATATAAGATACACACAAATACACAAAGATATATAGCCTTTAGTAGTGTCAGCATATATATTCATATTCGGCTTTGACTGTGAATCAACTCCATGTATGCTGTGAACCTTATGAAGTTATATAGGACAAGATCCCTGCCCTGAAGGAGCTCAGTCTAACTTCTCATTTTACTAAAACTGTCTGTATTTAGAAAATATAAATTAGCTCTCAGTTAATTCTTGGAATTTGGAAATATTTACTGAGTGCCTATTGTGTTTTGGGAAATGTATGGATATATTATAATATAGCAACACACATAACTATTAAGTTTCTCCAACTATTCTCTAGACCTATTTGCTGTTATTTCCCACTCCTGAGAAGCATTTAATCTTAATTTGAGTTAATATATGCAGTAGTCAATTTCTATATACTATACCTATGCATCCACATCTTTGCATCAATCATACGTGAAAAATCCTCAAAGTGCCATATGGTACCTACCACCAATTACAATGCTAATCAAGTATGCATTACAAAATTAAATTTTAAAAATGTACTCACAAGTCTAGTTACTAAACAAATTTATTTCAGATCTTTATCCAGTCAGTTTTTGCAGAGTAGCAAAATATAGTTGTAGTCTACCTTTTTCAAAACTTAATAGTATAATTATAAATATTTTGTATTTCTAGTCTAATGCCTTTTAATAGTTTACATTCTTTTATATTGATACGACATATTTGTCTCCAAATAGCCAATAAGAAGTTTTCAAATTTTCATATTACAAGTGCAATTACAAATGGGACTGTTGAATGAAAGGTAGGAACTTCAGCGTATCACTTTTATTTACATTAAAATAAATGGAATTTAGTGGAATTACAACAATCTTGTTTGCTATTTACAAATTGTATGTAGGAGGCAAATTATCCTTTGTGTTTTTTACAAATACAACAGTATCAATAGTATCACACTTTGGAAAGCAGGTTGCTTTTTGCTAATTTTGATACAAATGTAAGATAGCATTAATAACATCGCATATTCACAGATTTAAGAGCTTGATCAGAGCTTACCATGAAACCCCCAGACACTGCGTCTTCCCCCACCTGTTTAGAGTAAAACACTGACAATATTTCATAGACTCCTTAGCTTAGGTCTGATTTTTTTTTTTTATAAAAACCACCCAGCTGGTGGGTGATTTCGCTTCAGCGCGGAAGAGCTTCTGCAGCAGCTCTCAGGCAGCACCGCGAACCGGGGGGCCGAGCTCCTTCCAGTTGCGGAGGTCACTGGGTCTGCAGCTGGGTTGGCTCTTGCCTTGAGTGGGCAGGTTGAAGAACGAGTCTCTCGCAACCTCCTGGGCCAAATTTTGACCAGGATACTCTGCGGACCGCACAGAGCAACGTAGAGTCGGTACAGGTCCAGACTCCTCCCCGCCCCAGACCCGCTGGGGAGTTCTGCGCAGGCGCGGCAGTTGTGCGACATCCGTCACTTACGGCTGAAGCGGTTTGTGCTGGGAGTTGGTGGCGCGGTGCAGGGCTCTTAAGAACCAGCGGCTTGGGCGCGGGTAATCAGCTCCCTTTCCCCACTTTCCCACTTCTTCTAGGTTCTTGGGACTACCGCGGAGCTTCCGGACCTGATGCGGGCGCCCTGTCTTGGACTGTCCCACCTTGCTCCTCTACTGCTCCGGGTGCTCCCGCGCCCAGGTGGGGGTGAGGGGCGGGGTCGGGTCTGGGCTGGACTCCATCCTGGCATCTTCATGTTGAAATCTCCCGGGTAACTCACGGTTCTTCTTGTTTTCCAAGACTGGTTTCCGGGGATTGTGACTTGCAGGGTCCGCCATGGAGCCAGAGCAGATGCTGGAGGGACAGACGCAGGTACCAGGAGGCCCTGGCTTCAGGGTGGTGGTGTGCAGCAAGAAGGGGTGGCTCATGTCTCAGTGACCTGTGTTTTGTTTTCTAGGTTGCAGAAAATCCTCACTCTGAGTACGGTCTCACAGACAATGTCGAGGTAATTCTCCCAGTTCTTTTGCCGTTTCTGAGCGTCTCTTATGAGCTGGAGAAAACTTGGAATCCATTTTTACTAGGTTGCTTTGCACAAGGGGAAACTTTTATCACCTTAAACCAAATAGTATCAAATTATGGGTAGCTTGTTTTATTAGCGGTACTAATGCTTCGTGGTATACAGAAGTCCAAATTACTTTTGAGTCAAGGGGGTGAACTTCTGAAAGTGATAAACAGAAACAAACATGCATTGCTAATGGAGACTGTTAGAATCGTTTTTGCTTGGTGGCTATTAATGAATCTGTTAGGATATTCTTTGGAAAAATTGCACATTAAAATTACACCCATTATCTTTGAAGCAGAATAATGTGCTGGTGGAATGAATGATTTTCTTTCTTTTTTTTTTGCGTTCAGTAGTAGATGCCATTGGAAGCTATAACACACATAATAGATAAGTCTGAATTCAAAGAGTACACACGAAAAACAACACAAGAAGATATACTTTCATAGGACTTTTGCATGCAAGTGCTAGGAAGTTGTTTAAAAGTAGAAGTTAGAGGTGCCTGGGTGGCTCAGTGGTTAAGCATCCGACTTGAGCTCTGGTCATGATCTCATAGCTCATGAGTTTGAGCCCTATGTGGGGGCTCTGTGCTGACAGCTCAGAGCATGGAGCCTGCTTCAGATTGTGTCTCCCTCTCTCTCTGCCCCTCCCCCACTCACGCCCTGTCTCACTCAAGAATAAATAAAAACAAAATTAAAACAAGTAGAAGTTATTTGTAAATGAATGAGTAAATGCTAGAGCAGTGAATTAGCCAAAGCTGGTTGGGTTTGGTTAGGAAAATAGAGGCCTCCGTGAGATGTGTGTTTTATTGGGGGAGGAAAAAAATAGGGAAAGAGCTTGCCAGTGATTAAGTTTGGATAATGGGTACAGGAGTATTTCCTAGCAAAATAATAATAGTAGCAGCTACTACTATTTCATTATTTTAACTGTGTATGAGGCACACTCGTAAGTAATTTGCCTGTATGTTCCGCCCTATAAAGCTCAGAGAAGTTGAGTAACTTGTGTAAGGTCACCAGGAAATAAGTGGAGGAGCTGTGTGTTAAAGGTAGGCAGGTTGACACTTTTGAGATACAATTAAGTTGTGTTGATGATCTTGACCAGCTCCTAGAGTTCCCTGGAATGGAATAACCACCCTGTGCCTTAAAGAATTGCTAAGAATGTTTCTGGATTTGATGTCAATATTAAGAAGAGAATCTGTCTCTCTTCATAATGTAGTCTTTTTTTCCTAATGATGATTCCTTTATAGATTTTTTTTTTTTTAATTTGAGAGAGTGTAGGAGCGGAGGAGAGGGACAGAAAGAGAGAAGGAGAATTTCTTTTTTTTTCTTTTAACTTTTATTTATTTCTAGGAGAGAGAGAGAGAGACAACGTGAGCAGAGGAGGGCCAGAGAGAGAGGGAGACACAGACTCTGAAATAGGCTCCAGGCTCTGAGCTGGCAGTCAGCACAGGGCCCGACGCGGGGCTCGAACCCACGAACCGCGAGATCATGACCTAAGTGAAAGTCGGACGCTCAACCGACTAAGCCACCCAGGTGCCCCAAGAAGGAGAATTTCAAGTAGCTCCACACTGAGTGTGGAGCCCAATATGGGGCTTGATCTCACAACCCTGGGTTTGTGACCCCAGCGAAAATTGGGTTGGATACTCAACTGACTGAGCCACCTACCTGCCCTGTAATGTAGCCTTCAATAGAATCTGATGAAGATATGCTATACCACATTGTGTTCTATTCCTTTAAGAAACTTTTTTTAAGGCATCAGCACAATATTTTCTTGATGGTGCTTATATATGAAGGCAAAGCCATGATACAGTAGAGCAGTGATTCCCAAAACCTTTCTCTCAAGTCCTCAGACCAATTTCCATAATAAAGTGAGAAAATAAATGAGCCAAGGAAGTAGCTGATAATGATACATTGTTCGGTGATCGGTTTTCCTGCTTTTATAATTTTAAAATGCCCATTCTCTCATGAATTAATGGTGGTAGTAAAATTATTTATTTATGTGTAAGTTTTTACTTGGGAGAATAGAGTATCTTTCCCTATGTTGGTCCCTTCAATCATTGTGTAATTTTTAATTTGTTGTTTGTGATATCTGAGAGTCTGGAAACCACTACAGCTGCTGCTACTTTCTATTTTATTATTCCATTTTATTTTATTTCCTTCATTTCTTATTGGGTGCTTTATGGTTTTTTACTATCAACTGGTATTATTACTTTTGGTGTATAGTGTAAGAACCTTACAACAGTGTTCTCCCATTTTCTCTCAACTGGCCTTTGTGCTATTATATACCTTATTTCTACATATCTCATAAATACTATAATTCATTATTTTTATTTTTTTACATTTATTTATTTATTTTTGAAAGACAGAGAATGCAAACGGTGGTGGAGGAGAGAGAAAGAATTAGAGAAAATCCCAAGTAGGCTCACTGTCCGCACAGAGCTGGATCAGGGTTCAACCTCTTGAACTGTGAGATTGTGACTGGAGCCAAAATCAAGAGTCGCTCCCTTAATTGACTGTGCACCCAGGGGCCCCTCATTGTTTTTTTTTTTTTTTTTTTAAGTTAATTGCCTTTAAAGAGATTTAAACAATAAGAAAAAGGAATATTTCACACTTACCCACATGTTAACCATTTACCATATTTACCATCTTAACTCTTCATTCCTTTGTGTAGATCTAGATTTCCATCTGGTATCATTTTCCTTCCGCCTTAAGGGCTTCTTTTTTTTTTGTTTGTTTGTTTCATTTATTTGTGAGAGAGAGAGAGAGACAGCGTGAGCAGGGGAGGGTCAGAGAGAGAGGGAGACACAGAATCTGAAGCAGGCTCCAGGCTCTGAACTAGCTGTCAGCACAGAGCCCAATGCAGGGCTTGACCCATGAACCATGAGATCATGACCTGAGCCAAAGTCGGACACTTAACTGACTGAGACACCCAAGCGCCCCAAGGGCTTCTTTTAACAATTCTTATAGTGTAGGTCTGCCCATAAGGAATTTGTCAAGCTTCTGAGTATCTGAAAAAGGCATTAATTTGTCTTTATTTTTATTTTTTATTATTATTATTTTGTTTTTATTTTTGGAATATTTTCACTGGGTATAGATTTGCTCTACCATCTTTTGGCTGACATTTTTGACAGGAAATCTGCAATCTTTCTGTCTTTGCTTCTCCATATTTAATGTCTCTTCTCTTAGTGCTTTTAATTTTATTACAGGTTTTAAATAATTTGATTGTGATGTGTGTTGGTGTAGTTTTTTTTTTTTAATTATTTTTATGTATCTTGTGCTTAGGATTCATTGAGTTTCTTGGATCTGTGGGTTTAGAGTTTTCATGAAATTTGGAAAACTTTCGGCCATTATTTCTTCAAATATTTTAAAATATTGTTAGCTTAATTTATTTATGTGTTCCTTTCTTTTCTTGAAGATGTGGAATATATTATAATAACTGGTTAATATGCTATCATCTATATCATTCCTGAGTCTCTTTCTGTGGATTAAATTTTTTCCCTCATTATGCGTAGTAGTTTCCTTCTTCTTTGTCTGCCTGGTGATTTCTTACTGGAGGCTGGGCATTATGCATTTTTTCCTTGCTGGGCACTGGTTATTTTTGTATTTCTTCAAATATTATTTTTTTTTTTTTACACAAATAGTTTATTGTCAAATTAGTTTCCACATAACACTCAGTGCTCATCCCCACAAGTGCCCTCCTCCATGCAAATATTCTTGAGCTTGATTCTAGGACACGGTTACGTTACTGAGAAACAATTTGATTCCTTTGAGGTTTGCTTTAAGCTTTGCTTGGTGGGACCAGACCCACCTTTAATTTAGGCCTAATATCCTCTTCTGGCATCTCCCCCAGTGCTCCATATTTTATGTGGTTTTTTAGTTTTGTGTCACAAGAACAGGAACGACTGGTCTTGTGTGAGCTTCAGGGATTCTCTCACCTGCTCATTCCAGGTGTTTTTTTCCCTTGGCCTTAGATAGTTACCCCACATCCATGCACTGATAAGTACTCATCTAAAGACTTTAAAGCAGTCTCTTCAGTGTCTTTCTCCCCATCTCTCTCCTTTCCGTGTGCTCTTCAGTACACTGTCCTGTAAATTCTAGTTGTCTTGCTCTCCCTGAAGTTTCAAGTATGTCTTCTCAGCTCAGGGAGACTGCTGGGCTCTGCCTTGGTTTTTTCTGCATTGCATACTATAAGTTTTCTAGGCAGGAAGTAGTAACCTGGAACAATTATAGGGCTCACCTTTTTTTTTTCATGATTTTTGTGTGTGTGTGTGATCATTGTTCTAAACCATTAACACCTTATACCTTTTTTTTGGTGGGGGGATAATTTATATAGGTAGGTAGATAGATTAATGCAAGATTTGGGCTTAACTAAAATTAAGCATAGCAGTTGGCACATAGTGGATATCCATTAAATATTTGAATGAAAAAAAGAGAGGATTTGGTCAAGGGGTTTATTATAAGATATAGGTGTTAATAAGGCATTGCTTAATTGAAGCAATTAATTGCCGCCTTATTGAAGGCATTGGAATGTCATGTAACTGACTGTTTTTGTCATATATGGGGATTATCTGTTGAAATTTACTGAGGAACAATGTGTTTCTTAATCCATGAGCAAATACATAGCTATTTTATACATTGAGTACAGAACATTATTGTCTTACAAAGTCTCGAAATATGGTGGAAAAATCATGAGCCAAATTAGAATAGTTGCCTAACATAGTTGTGGAAAATGTCTTTTGAAACCATGGTATATATATTGTAGGTATATGATAAAAGCCTTTTTTTAACCACTTTTTACAAAATAAAGTTGTCTAAAAAATTAAGTCTAGAAAATGTTTCTTTGTTGTCATTGAATCATTTATATCCAGTTTGAGTATGATTGAAGCAAAAGTTCATTTTTTAAAAAAGATTTTATTTTAAGTAATCTCTACCCCCAACATGGGGCTTGAACCCAGAACCCTGAGATCAACAGTTGTATGCTCTAGTAACTAAGCCCTCCAGGTGCCCCCAAAATTCATTTAAATGAAAGTGTTCTTAATAGTGGTTTGTGTTGTGGATAGCCACTTATTTCTAAATTTCTAAAATGGTTGATTTGTAAAAGAATACAGTTTTTCAATAGTTTTTGATGCTCTGGATGTCAGATGAATCTATGTGAAAGACCTAAAATTTGGGGGTTCCTAAGAGTAGAAAGTATAAGTAATTGTTTCTTAAGTAGCATTTAAATATCATGTTAATTAGTAAATTCCCTCATTTTTTGACTATCATTTACTTAATATTTTTTCTTTATTCTGTTCACTCTTAAAAATTCTGAATGTGCTTATTTAAAAAACAAACAAATGGAAAAGCATTCTCATTTTGATAGAGGATAGCCATAAACATGAAAACAGTGAATGTGAAATGCTGAGGATAAATTTTAGCTATATTCTATTCCTGTTGGAAGGCTATGAGCCTGAAGCCTGTCTGTCTCTTAAGAAGAGTTTAGCAAGTGTTGCAAAAGTGTAACACACCTATTAGTACCAAAGTGAGACTTTGTCCTTGATAACTCCCGGTGGTGACAGAATTGAAACAGGACCAGCTTTCTTCCTGTGATTCAGTGCTACTTAGTGTCATGTCCACAGTTTTCAAAACATACTGTAAGAAGGTATTCTTATGAAAAAAAGAGAAAGCACTTGTATTTACTCCTAAATGGGTAGAAAAAGAGAAAGGAGAATCTGGAGCTAAGACAAAAGAATGAGATACTACGGTACCTTCAGAGAAAAAAGGCTTAAATGAAATTTAGAGATGGGTCTGATTTTATTTCGGCAGAGAGATTTGCCCTACCACACCAGCTCTCTGGTCATTCATTTTGCCTTTTCTACTCGTGTCATATTTCCATTAATTTTTGTTTAGCGCTCAAAATAATCTAGTTATTTGTAATATGCATGCATGTTTTTTGAATCCACTAGAGGATAGTAGACAATGAGAAGATTAATGCAGAAAAGTCATCAAAACAGAAAGTGGATCTCCAGTCTTTGCCAACTCGTGCCTACCTGGATCAGACAGTTGTGCCTATTTTATTACAGGGACTGGCTGTGCTTGCAAAAGAAAGGTAAGATAGTGTCTGCAAATGGAGTTCCTGGAGAAAACAAAATAAAGACTTCCCTACTGAGAGTCATTAGTTATCATTAGTTACATTTAATTATTTTTTACAATATAGAGAATTTTTAAAATAAAATGTAATCAGCTGCAGTCTCATCAATTCAGGCACTTTTCATTTACCTCTACTGGTCTTAGGTCATATGCGTATTTGTAAAGATTTGCAATGATGGCGTACATGTAATTTTATATCTCCTTTTTACTTAATATTGTAATATAAAACTTTTCCCATATCTCTACATAGGCTTTGTGATTACAGTTTAGATGATCACAATACCTCAGCCATGTTTTTTTGTTGAGCACTTAGGTCCAATTTCCTTTGTGATTATAGGTTAGCAGGCAGCCTGTGTTGCACATTTTCATGCCTCTTTTGCTTTTGTTTCATTAATTTCTTATGATAAATTTCCAAGAATTGATTTGCTAGTTTGAGGAACATGACTCTTTTTACAGTGTTTGACACATAATACCATTTTTCCGTCCAAAAGTTTATTCTTTTTTTTTTTTTTTTTTTTTCAAAAGTTTATTCTTAAAGTTCTTCCACTGTCATAGCCTCCAATAGCATGAAAGAAACTTTTCTTGCCAAGCTATTTTGATTTATACTTCTTTATTAGCAACATTACAGTTTTTCTGTACATGTTTTTTCCTAGTAATTCTACCTAAATTCTTTTTGTATAAGCAAATCCAATAGAAAATGTTTTTGTAAGTTATATGTATAAAAGAGGATTTATTTATGACTGCAAGATATGTCTTGACTCTAATTCTGTAAATTAAAATATGGGCATCTTTTATATTGTTCTTTATTTACAGAAGGCCAATATGTTAGAAATTATAGATATTACCTTAAATGCTAGAAGGAAAAATTTGAAGAAGTTTTTAAGTAACATGCAATTATTAAATACAATTTTTAAGTAAGGAATTCTGGCAAAATTATTCATGAAACCATAAATATTATGTGAAAAATGTTTATGTCTAGTCAGTTCAAAAGGCTATTTAAAATGCTAAGGGAATGTTTTGAGATCATTGTAAATTAATTCTAAGTATGCCTTTTCATTGTCTGATTTTAAATATCTGATTTACCCAGTTTTTCATCTTTCAACTTCTTTTCTCAGCAAGAATAATCTATGGAAAAGTGATAAATAGGAAATGACATCTTCTGTTAACATTTTTTCCTCGTTTTATTGAGAAATAATTGTCATATATCACTGTATAAGTCAAAAGTATATAGCACGGTGGTTTGATTTACGTATATTGTGATATTACCACAGTGCATTTAGTTAACATCCATCATCTCACAGAGACGCAATAAAAAGGAAAATGAACAAATGATAAATTCTCCGTGTGATGAGAACTCTTAGGTTCTACTCTCAACAACTTTGCAGTCTCTCACACAGCATTGTTAGCTGCGGTCATCCTGTCAGATGTCACATCCCTGGTGCTTATTCATCTTGTAACTGGACATGTGTGCCTTTTGACCACCTTTCTCCAGTTCCCATTCTCCCATCTCTTAATTCTTTTTTTTTTTTATTTTTTTTTATTTTTTCCCATCTCTTAATTCTAAAATATGTTTTAATTTCTCAGGTGTGCCGTATGGTAGCAGTATTAGAGTTATTATTGATTTAAATTATTTGAAGTAAAATAGAGGTGACTTAAAAAAAAAACTTAACAACTTATTTGTCCAAATGAATATTGATTCCTTTGATTCATTTTTTGGGAGTTCATCCACTTGTCTCACTGATGCTACAGCCATTTTCCTGTATTGTTTTTTCTTCTCTTATTGAAGGATAATTACCTGTGGAGAAAATTGTATATGTCATAGGTGCACGCTTTGATGAATTTTCAGAATCCAAACATACCACAAAGCTTGCAGTCAGATCAAGAAACTGAGTACTGTCAGCACCCCAGAATTCTCCCTGGGGACCCCTTTATAAAGGTCCTTATTCCAGTAAGGACCAGTGATCATCATCCCAATGTCAAACATCACATTTTTGAAACTTGTGTTGTAGAATTGAGTTTATAACCGGATTTAAGTCATACAAAAGTCTCAGTCTCTTTAAACCATATTGTTGACTAACTTGCTTGCCTATTTCACTTACCATATTTATTACAAATGGCCTTTGAGTGTAAAATGAAAATTAAATTTAAAAAGATGTGTTTTCATTATGGAATAATACATTTAAATTAATACACCTGGAATATAAATTTCTAAATTTTGGATTTCTTTTCCCTTCCAGACCACCAAATCCCATTGAATTTCTAGCATCATATCTTTTAAAAAACAAGGCACAGTTTGAAGATCGAAACTGACTTATTGAGAAGAACAGAAAAATTTGGTTTCTACTGTAGATTTACATGATTAAGAGGCAGCTTTAATTGCCAAGATTCCCCCCCTTTGGAAGTATACGAACCTTCAGGACAACAGAACTTATTTCCGGAATTGCAGAAGAAAACATTTCCCTTATTTTGATTTAATCACCATGCTTATTTAATGAGTGTATTCTGTGCAATTTTTTCTTAGATTGTCTTTAACTTTGTTTTTAAAACAACCTTCAAAATAAACTGTTAAAATGTCATTATTTGAAAGTAGTTTTTGTTCCATATGGTAAATATTGTATATGGGTCAGTTATTTTCATGAATTTCTTCTTTCTTGGGTCTTAGAACACTGCAGAGTTTTACAACTGCATGAAAATACAACAGAGTCAAGTTTAACATAAAAAAGAATCACAGCCAGCTTTTCTCATTGTTGTTCCTGGACCTCCTAGAGGGTGGGAACTGGGCATCTTCAGTTTTAACATCACAGGTGATTCTAATGCACAATGAAATTGGAGTATTTTTTTCTTTTTTTGAAGTTGGAGTATTGATAGAAGCATTCTGGAGGATGTACAATATACTTTACTGCTATAAACCTTTATGGTAATAATATAGTAATGACTGTCATTTATTGCAATTCTATGTATCAAGTATAAGTACTATTTTGCTTAAATTATCTTTAAGATAGCAACTCTACAAAGTAGATATTGTTATTCCCATTTTGCAGATGAGGAAGCATTTGGAGAGGTTAAGTGACTTGCTCAAGACCACACTGCTGGTAAGTGCTCAAATGGCATTCAAACCTCGTTCTGCCAATGTGTTGTTGATAGCTAAGTGAGATGTGCTCATGCAAGTTAACATCACTGCTGCTAAAGCAATAAAAATCACCAGCCAGTCCTTTTTGGGGAGTCTGCTCACTTTGTCCTACATGAAGAAATTAAGATAACTCATTAACGCCAGAAAAAGAAAATTGTCTGAAGGAAACCAGCAGGAAAAACATTCATTAGGAGAAGTGGTTCTCAATGAGGAGTGACTTTGCCCTTTTACCCCAGAGGACATTTGGTAGGGTCTAGAAACAATTTGGTTATCACAACTGAAGTAAGGTGGAGTTCTACTGGCATCTGGTGGATAATGGCCAGAAATGCTGCTAAATATCTTACAATACATAGGACAACCTGTGTGCCCCACCTGTCCCCAAGAATTATCCAACTCAAAATATCAATTAGTGTTAAGGTTGAGAAAACCTGCTTTGGGGGGGCACATGGCTGGCTTATTTGGTAGAGCTTGCAACTCTTGATCTCAGGGTCATGAGTTTGAGTCCCACATTGGGCACAGAGTTTACTTTAAAAAACAGAAAAAGAAAAATCCTCCTTTGGAAGCACATTGAAGCTAATCATGTGAAGACAAAATTAGGAATTTAATGCTGATGAGGTATACCCTATAGTTTGCTTAAAATTAAAAAGAAAAAATTTTTTAATGTTTTATTTATTTCTGGGAGAGAGAGAGAGAGCGTGAGCAGGGGAGGGCCAGGGAGGGTCAGAGAGAGAGGGAGACACAGAATCCGAAACAGGCTCCAGGTTCTGAGCTAGCTGTCAGCACAGACCCCGACGTGGGGCTCGAACCCACGAACCGCGAGATCATGATGTGAGCCAAAGTCGGACGCCCAACCGACTGAGCCACCCAGGTGGCCACCCTCATTTTTTAAAGTTTATTTTATTTTTTAACATGTTTATTTTTGAAGGGCGCCTGGATGGCTCAGTCGGTTGGGCGTCCGACTTTGGCTCACATCATGATCTCGCGGTTCGTGGGTTCGAGCCCCACGTCGGGGTCTGTGCTGACAGCTAGCTCAGAACCTGGAGCCTGTTTCGGATTCTGTGTCTCCCTCTCTCTCTGACCCTCCCTGGCCCTCCCCTGCTCACGCTCTCTCTCTCTCTCCCAGAAATAAATAAAACATTAAAAAAATGTTTATTTTTGAAAGAGAGGGGGACAGAGTGTGAATGGGGGAGGGGCAGAGAGAGAGGGAGACAGAATCCAAAGCAGGCTCCAGGCTCTGAGCTGTCAGCACAGAACTCAATGCGAGGCTCAAACTCACAAACTGCAAGATCATGACTTAAGCGACGCAGGCACCCCTGTCTTATAGTTAACTTTAATACAGCAAAAGCTTATTTCAGTAGGAGTGAGACTTGTGGGGAGGTGACATGGTTTTGATTTAAAATTGTGTATCTATGGGGCGCCTGGGTGGCTTGGTCGGTTAAGCGTCCGACTTTCGCTTGGGTCGTGATCTCGCGGTTCGTGGGTTCGAGCCCCGCGTCGGGCTCTGTGCTGGCTGCCAGCTCGGAGCCTGGAGCCTGTTTCAGTCTGTGCCTCCCTCTCTCTCTGACCCTCCCCTGCTCGCGCTGTTTCTCTCTCTCTCTCCTAGAAATAAATAAAACATTAAAAAAAAAAAAATTTAAAAATTTAAAATTGTGTATCTATTTATTCAAATAGGAAAAACCTGTAAAGATTGGGATCTCTTGCTTATAGTTTCCACAAATATTAATTCCATCTGATTCATTTTGGTTATTTGGCTAGCTCCTACGTTAATCTACCCAAGTCTTTTTAGTGACATTTTAACATTTGATTAAGTTGTAGTTGGGTTAGTTTTTTATTAAAGCATCCATAATTTTATCATCTTAATAGCGGTTCTTCACCTGTAATTCACATCAGAGCCACTTAGGGAACTTTTCATATATATATTTCATATATAAATAGTCCTGGAGAGCCTGATTCAATTGTGACAGAGCTCAGACTTCTGAATTTGACAAAAACTCTTTAAGCCATTCTGGTATAGACCTCTGGTTAACGACCACTTAGAAGTAATGCAGTATTCTGCCTAGTGCTACATTACTTCTAGTGTTCTATTGAATTATCTTTGAGATGGGTTTAAATTACTCAATCTTGAAATTGATCCTTTTTAAAGTAACAGCTGAGAATAGGCATATCTTTTGCTGGTAGTGCACATGCTTCTTACTGAATGCTTATCATGGGCCAGGCACCCATACTAAATACATGAATTGTTATATAATCCTCAAACCCTGTGAGGTAGGTTTAATTTTAATAACTCATTTTTACATGAGGAAAGTAAGATTTTTGTTAACTTGCTCAAGGTGGAAGTAAGTTTGGGGCAGGGATTCAAACCCAGATTAATGCTATCTACCTTCCCTTAATGCTATGTTACCTCTGCTTCAATGTTCTCAGGGGTGCTGAAAATTTTTCTTTGGGGGAAAAATCAGTTTGCCCCTGTGTGTGTACAGTAGGAGACCTTTTATCTAGTTGGTAGATGGAAAAATGAGTCATGGTAAGGAATCCTAAATGACACTGAGGAGTTTTTTTTTTAAACTTAAAAAAATATTAACCTGTATTAACTTGGCAATATTTTTTTCAACCTTTTCTTGGGCATGGGTTCTCTGCTTAGATTTCTGTTTCATTTTTCTACTTCAAACCACTCCTGTTATATATGGTCTGCAAATTCCAGTTTTAGAGTTTTTTTTGAAAGTAGAGGATGATTTTAAACATTTAAAAAGTAATTTGTAGAATCCTAAACTTTTTTAATGATTTTTTTCTCCAGCCGTCAATCATCTCACCTGCCTCTAATTTGCAGTTTTTACTTAGTCTTTCCAGAGTATTCCACATATTTTTTGCACATCTTTTGCATTATGTGTTTTTAGTTCATTAGTTTATGTAATATTTGATTAAATTGTGTAATGGTTGTACCTAGTGCAACTGGTATAAGTCAGCTGGAGAACACAATGGACTCTTGTAAGTTATGTACACAAACCTGGGAGGAGATTGCAATAATGTGAGACTTGCCTAAAGAGTGTGGTCTACAACCTTCAAGAGTTCAATTTGTATTGACTCTAGGAATCTAGAGCATCACTCCAGTAAGTTGGTGAAATAGAAACCAGTTAAGAAAGTTTCTATTAATCTTTGATGAGGTATTTTATGTATAGCTGGCAATTATATTATAGAAGCCATTCCTACCCTTTGAACGCTTAATTAGGTAGGTTATTGTTTAGTAAACAAATATAGAAATAGAGTAAGAAGTGCTACATGTTACAGAGTGAATTCATGAATTATGTTAGTGGGTAGCTTAGTGGAAGGATGAGGAGAGCAAATCAGGCATAGATTCATAGAGGAAATAGAGACTTTGAATTAAAAAAAATGGTTTGATAGAATGATGTTGTCTACTTAATTCTGACCATACTATAGAATGAATATTGAACTTTTGCTTAAATCTCATTTAGGAGAAGGTATAGTGAGATTTTAGGATTGATAACTTCCTGTTAGAAACATGATAGAATGGTTGTAGGGATAGCATAAAATATGGTAGCCAGATATTTTTCTGGACTGGAATCCAAAAAGGCATTAACAAATTGGAGGCCTGATACATGTCATCAACCTGTAGAAATGAGGGACGAAGATGAAAGCTGTAAATGGCCATCTCTGAGAGTCTATTTATTTAAAAATCTCTACATTTAAATTAGGAAAGTAATAGTGGAAAATAGGTCACCAGAGATAAAAGGGCCAGGCAGTAATGAATACGAATTTTCTTTCAAAAAAAACTCTTATCAGACTTAAACTAAATCTTTTGATGCAGTTGTTTCATTTTTGGGAATTTTAAATAATATCAACAATACATTAGACAAAAGTTTTAAAAAATTTATTCCAGAAAATTGGAAGTGAACAAATTTTCATCTTAATAGGTATCACTAAATCTGTACTTAGCTTAGTGTCAGGGACATAGTTAAGTGTTTAATACATATTATAAAATTTGACTTCTAATGGAAGGGCAAAGTTGACTGACAATTAGAGTACTAGTTTAAAAAAATTTTTTTTTATTGAAGTATTGTTGACACACAATGTTACATTAGTTTCAGGTTTACAACATTGTGACTTGGCAACTCTATAAGCTTTACTGTGCTCACATGTAGCTACTTTCTTTCACCATAAAACACTATTACAATATCATTGACTATGTTCCCTATGTTGTTCCTTTCATCCCTGCAACTTACTCATTCCATAACTGGAAGCCTGCACCTCCCACTCTCCACCAGTTTTTGCTCATTTCCCCCACTCTCTCCCCTCTGGCAACCATTAGTTTGTTCTCTGTATTTATGGGTCTGTTTCTGGTTTTTTGTTTATTCATTTGTTTTGTTTTTTAGATTGTGCATATAAGTGAAGTCATAACGGTATTTGTCTTCTGTAGAGTACCATTTTTTTTAAGTTAATTTTTATTTTTGAGAGAGAGAGAGAGAGATCAAGCATGAGCGGGGGAGGGGCAGAGATCTAGGGAGACGACCCCTAGCAGACTTCATGCTGTCAGCACAGAGCCCCTTGGGGGCTTCAACCCACGAACCATGAGATCACAACCTGAGCCAAAATCCAGAGTGAGACGCTCAACTGACCGAGCCCCCAAGAGGCCCCTTAAGAGTACCAGTTTTAATTGAAATCAAAAGAACATCTTTATTCTAAACTCTTTTTTTCAACTTTGATTTGTTCAACACTCTGTGGTTTTGTTCTAGAATATTTTTAAGCTATGGGGCTTTTCGTAATTAGTAGGCTGCTCCTCAAGCTGCCAGCCATGGATAAGTAAATTATAAAAATGCTCAATTAATATTGCCATGTAGATTCTAAAAATGAAGCCTAAAGATGTAAATAAAGTATTCTGTATGGTGTGTGTGTGTGTGTGTGTGTGTGTGTGTGTGTAGGTATATATGTACATGGCACAAAATTCCAAAAATACACAAAAGTTTAATCTTTTGTCCATCCTTGTACTTCGGCCACCTAAAGAAGTACCTTTACCAACTTATGTTTCCTTCTAGAGGTATTCTGTGTATATGCAAGTGTATAATACTTACAACTATTCATTTTTACATGAATAGCATACTTTATTTAAACATTGTTTTTCACGGGCGCCTGGGTGGCTCCGTTGGTTAAGCATCCAACTTCAGCTCAGTTCATGATCTCACGGTTCATGGATTCTAGCCCCACGTCGGGCTCTGTGCTGACAGCTCACAGCCTGCAGCCTGCTTCACATTCTGTCTCCCTCTCTCTCTGCCCTTTCCTTGCTCATGCTGTCTCTCTCTCTCTCTCTCAGAAATAAATAAAACGTTAAAAATTTAAAAAACAAAAAACATTGTTTTCCTGTTTACTATTTTTGTTTTTTAGCTCTCCATACCAGATTATAGCACCACCTATTCTTTTTAACAGGTGCATATGTATGGATATATCCTAGTTTAACAAGTTTCATATTGATGCATATTGTGGTTGTGTTAGTTGTTTGCTAATACAGACTGATACAGTGAATATATGACCTGCTATTTCAGAAGATATGTTGAGTTATTAAGGTCGGGTTCTGGGACTAGTGGTGCCTTATTTATTAAAGTCTATGCTTCGTAAGGACTATTAGTGAGGAATTCCTCCTTGCCCTTTGCTATGACTGATGTTTATGGAGTGTCAAACCCAAATCCCTGGTGGATATAAATGGAAATTGTATATAACAGGATATAACACAGGAATTGTACAGTATTGCCAAACAGGATATGAAATGAGTATTTGGCATTATATGGATCTCCATTAATTTAAGGGGAGGTAAGTGGATAGTTTCAACATATTTCTTTCAAGAGTCTGTTCTTGAATAAAAGATGGACAGGAGGAATAATGATGGGATATTTAAGAGCATTCTAGCGATAATAGTGTATCTTTTAACCTTTCACTTCTCTTGGCATTGTGGTCTTTGCTGAGTTTGACCAGTAAGAAAAATCCTTTGGGGGAAAGAAGTCTTCAACAGAACATTTCCATAGGGAGGAAGCTTAAATTTAAATTAGGTTATCTTTTAGAATGAGACCTAGAGTTGTTGCTAGGAGCAGGGGATAATGATAAGAAGAAACAAAGAACAGCTTATAAATTGTAGATGATTTTCACTTAATTAGTGTCACAGCAAGCCTGTGAGTTAGATATTATTGCTGTTTGCATTTTGACAGATGAGAACACTGAGGCTTGACAAGGTTAAATCACTAGATGCCCATGATCACACAGCTGATCAGTGACAGCCAGGACTCAAAGCTGATTTTCTAATTTGACCAGCCTGAAATATGAAGCTTTCTTAGTTCATTGTATCCAGTGTCCCTTCCCTGTCTTTTTTGGACCATAGAAACAAAATTAGGAATCATTAACTTCAGGAGCTAAGGTGCTTATCAATGCCACACTAACCATATCGACAGTTTTCTTGAAATTCATGATGAACAGTTTACCAAATTACCATGTCATCATTTGCCACTGAGTTTTGGTATTCCAAGAGGAGTACCATGGAATTAGAGCTCCATCCCGCCTTTTTGTTATCTTTAAATTGACTACTTGGCACATCCTTTTTTTCTTTTGACTGTATAATATGTTAATATTTGGGCAGGTTAGTGGTAAAGTCAGAAGTTAAAAATTTAGTAAAGAAATACAGGTCAGTGGAGATTTTTGTCTAAAAACTATGTAGAAAAAGGTGTGAAAGTCAGAAATGTTCCAGTAATTGACCAGGCTTTTAGGCCTGGGATCTCACACAAGATCCTTGGGCCTTAAAGTTGAAAAGTTGGGAAGAGGGATGGGAACAGGACAGTAACTTAAAATAAAAAGTTTCCTATGGCACTAGGGAAACGTGAATATCAGGGGACTAGTTATCTGCTTTAAACTCTACCGGGAAATCTGTTTAGTATGAAATTCAGATGTAACGATTTTATGATTTGAACCCCCGATCTTTCATTGAAGACATGCCAGTTTCTCTTACTCTCTTCTGGTTTTGGAATGATCTACTTCATAACAACACTTCCTCAGAGGTCCAAGATATCCTACTTTCCCGTGGTTCCTCCAGAATTTGAAAAGTATTCTTTGTTCCTGGCACTTCTGTGGAAAACTGGGATTTATAAGGGAAGGGTTCGAAATGTTTGCTGTATGCATACTGTGTCAGGGTCTTTACATTTATTAACTCTTGTAATCCTAGGGACACCCCTTGAATCTAGGATCCCCTTTTCATAGACGGGAATAACTGAGGCTAGGTAATTCACACTTGAATCTCAATTAGGGAGTTAAGACGCAAGCACCTGCATCCATACAAAATGAAACAAGATAACGTTTATAGTAGTCAAAGCCACGATTAGGTGGTAAGGGTGGCCCAGTGAAGCAAAAACTAGAATTTGCGGGACCGCAGGCACACCACCATGTGCCTGTTTCTACCAGTGAACTTCCCAACGTGGCCACGGGCTCGCCTCCCTGGGAGTGAAACCTCGGGGCTGTGAATTCACGAAATATTCGTGTGTGTCATGGGGGCGGGGGAAGGGCAAGCCGGACTGTCCCCGCGGAAAGCCGCATCGGCGTGCCCTGGGAGCTCTACATTTAAGGAAGTTGGCTGGGGGAGGGGGCTTGCCCTGCGGCTGCGTCGGGCTCCCCGCCCCCCCGCCGAGCCTCTGCCGCCGCTAAACCCCGGAGAGCGGAGCGTGCACGTTGAGACTCCTCGGCGGGCCTGGCAGCGGCTGCTGGGCATGCTCAGTGGGCAGGACCCGTTAGAGTGGCGAGTAAGGAAGCGGTGGCTCGTCGGTGGGGCCGCCTTCCCCGGTTCAGGCCCCGGCCCTGGGCTTTTGTGTGCGCGGCGCTGCAGCCGCCGCTGCCTCCTCGCGGGGCCGCCCAGCCCCCGATGCCGTCCGGCCTGTCCGGTTTCCGCCGTTAACCTCGCCGCGCGGCTGGAGGAGGAGCGGGGCGGGGCGGGGCCCGCGGGCCGGCGGCCGGGCGGGCAGGAGGGCCCTGCCGGGGGTGGGGGTGGGTGCGGGGAGTCCCGCGGGGGGTGGGGGGAGGGGGCGGGCGCGGAGTCACGGGGGTGGGGTCACCGGCGGTGGCTCGGGGAGGCCGGCTGGGAGGGGAGGGGGCCGTGGGGGCGGCTCGGCGGAACCAGCCGCGGCCGGGGAGCGGCGGCGAGGCCGGGGGCCGGGGCCAGGGCTTTCCGGGCTTCGGTGAGGCCGCCGCGGGCCCCATCTTCCGGCGGTCGCCGGAGTTTGTGGTGATTGTTGCCGCCGCCGCCACCGCCCCGGCTGCCATCTCCTCCTCCTGGGCCGCCGCCTCCTCCTCTTCCTCCTCCTCCTGGGCCGGGCCGATCCCCTCCCCGCTGCCGCCTCCTCCTGGGCTGGGCCCGCGGTGTCTCGTCCCCTCGCGGAGCCGCTCCCGCCGCCGCCGCCGCCGCCTCCTCATTCATCCTCGTGCACCATAGGCGGCACAGGCACCAAGATGTCCAACCGAGTGGTCTGCCGGGAAGCCAGTCACGCCGGGAGCTGGTACACAGCCTCAGGTAGGGCCCCAGGCCGGCCGGCCCGCCGGCCCGCCGCCGCCGCCTGGCCCCGCGCCCGCGGCCGCCCGAGGTCCGCGGCCCGGCCCCGCGCGGCGGCGGCGGCGGCGGCGGCGGGAGGGACGAGGGCGCGGACGGCCGCCGGCCGAGGACCGCGTGCGGAGGGAGCGGCCCGCAGGCCGGCGCGGCCGCCTCCCCCACCCGGGTGGGACCCCGCGGCGCAGCCCGGGGCCGGCCGCCCTCTCGCTCAGCCCAGAGTTGGGCGAGAGCGGGAGCCGCCGCCTCGGCAGCCTGCGCCCTCCCTCGGGACCGGGCTGGAGAGAAGAATGTGCTCCCGGACCCGCGTCCGCTCGTCGCCGCCTTCGGCTCCCGGGAGGCGGGCGGCCGGCCGCTGCCACCCCCGAGAGGACGGACCGTCCGCCCGGCGCCCGAGCCCCGCTTCCCCCACCCGGCGCCCAGGGACGGACGCGCGTTCCTGGGCTCGCGGTTGCTCGCCGCCGCCGGTCCCGGAGGCGCCCGCGACCGGGGCAGCCGTCCGTCCGGCGGCGTGCGCGGCCGACCCCGCTCACCCCGCTCCTGCGAGGAAGTCTTCTCCCCCTCCCCTGGCCGCTTCCCGAGGCAGCGCTCCCCTGTCCCCTTTAAGGTGCTCAGCTGTCTGGAAAGGAGCGCGGGCTAGTACTTTCTCACGTTGCGGGACCGGAGACCACGTCTCGGCCCGTGAGGTCTGGAAGAGCGGGGTCTTCTCTGCGATTTGCAGCCCTTGTGCGTTGGGGGTAGGGTAGAAGTATTGCCAAGCGGTGGCTTGGGGTGGCCTCCCAGCTCTTTTGTCAGTGTTTTCATTGTTACTGTCATTCACGAAGGGGCAGCTGGAGATGGCATCAGCACTTTTGCTCAGCAGCCTCACCAGCCTCTAGTCGCTCAACGCCGAGCAGGTGCTGGAACTATCTACGGGATTAGATTAGGGTCCGAGCGGACAGTCTTCTGTCGACACTGCCTAAAATCCTTTTCGAGCTCTTTATGTAAGAAAGCTTAGGGACTTTCCCTTCAGTAAACGTTTTGTTAGAATGACTGTTTCTGGGGTTACTTTCAGGAGTCCCATTTCTGGTAAGTTAACAAAGAAAGTTCCACCGTGATTCCTAATAGTTTTCAGTCGTTTTGTATTTTGGCTTATCAATAACCAGACCTAACTTTAACGTGGATCGCGTCAGGTTCCCTTTTGCAAATAGTTGGATTGACTAGTGACATGGTTTGTAAGACAGCAAAGATTTGGAAGAAAATTCATTACTCTGGAGTTGCTACACGAGCTCAAAAATACATGACTTTACTGACTCACTGAAGATTTGCTGCGTTAAGAAGGCACAAAAGAATCATCATTTGCGAGCCTAACAGGTAGCTGTAGTTTTGTACTAAGCAGATGACATTTGGCTTCCCTTCATGGTCCTAAAGTACTTCATAAACATTTAATCATTTCTCACAACCTGAGAGTGTCAGTTAAGCTTTTCTTGTTCCACATATGGGGATGTGCCCAAGACTTTGTACTAGCCAGTGGCAGAACAGGAATTGAGAAATGGGACTCCCTGGCTCCTGGTTTGCCCTCCAATTTAGTGCATTATTAACATTCAGTTTATCAATAACAGTCTTTTCAGGGCAGTAAGTCATTAAGCTTCTTCAGTGTGTTTTGAAGGGTTAAGAAGTCTCAGTTTTCACTTTCATGGCCTTCTTTTATTTCTTTTGGTTTTGTTTTCTATACCTTTCTATAAGTGTAAGTGCTTTATACTTTTTTTTTTTTGTAGTTTGCATTGAAATTTGAGCAAAGGATTCTGGAGGAGTTTTTATAGATGCTTGAACATTCTTTGGGTAGTAAAATAAGGCAGAGTTCACACTTTAGACTTGAAAAGACTTCTTCAGTAATCTTCTCAAATATAGGAATTCTTTTATCCAGCTCAAAACATTCTCTGAGTATAGCTATCAGTAGGGAATGAAAGTGAAGTATTTTCTTTCTGTGTGTGTGTGTGTGTGTGTAAGCATAATTTTATTTTTTATGGTGTTTTATTTGTTTCAGGTGTACAGCATAGTGATTCAACAATTTCTATAATGGACTGTTTTCTTAAAAATTTGAAATACAATCTTTTTTCCCTAAATTCTCAAAGACATCAATAATACCATTTTGATAATGTGAATACAGAGAGCCTTATTATTAAAAAAATTCAGAGCATGAGTGTCTTGTGTGTGTATATGTGTGTGACTTTTAATTGTTATTAAAAAAATTTTTTTAATGTTTTCTTTATTTCTGAGAGAGAGAGAGAGACATTGTGAGCAGGGGAGGGTCAGAGAGAGAGGGAGACACAGAATCTGAAGCAGGCTCCAGGCTCTGAGCTTTCAGCACAGAGCCTGATGCAGTGCTTGAACCCACGAACTATGAGATCATGACCTGAGCTGAAGTCAGATGTCAGATGCTTAACCGACTGAGCCACCCAGGCGCCCCTAAACTAATTATTATTAACATTTTCTTTAATGTTTGTTTATTTTGAGAGAGACAGAGCGTGAGTGGGGGAAGGGTAAAGAGAGAGGGAGACACAGAATCCAAAGCAAGCTCCAGGTTCTGAGCTGTCAGCAGAGCCCAACGCCCGCCTTCAACCTGCAAACTGTGAGATCATGACCCGAGTGGAATTCAGACACTTACCTGACTGAGCCACCTACGTGCCCCTAAATTTAAGTAATTATTAAAGATGAATTTAAAACATTGTAGTTGTAAAAGCTTATTTTGTATTTTAAAAATAAGTGAAGTAAAAATAGGTAAGTAAACTTCAACTTGGTTTGGTACCTTATTTAACATTATCCCAGTGTACCTATATTGATAACATTGGCCACTGGAAAAATTTTACTTGTGTTACTATTGTTTTCCCTGTTGAACTACTCCTAAAAACTTGGGTGATAGGAGAGAGACAGATGTCATTGTGATTGTCATTCTGTCCTTCCTACATCATTCAGATCATGTCCATAGAATTAAATTATTTGGTTACTGTTACAATTAAAGGTGAAATCACAGTTGCTTCAGTTACATAGCCAGTTCAGGGGGAAAAAAAAGTGTGTGTGTACATATATATATATGACATGTATGTGTACATACATGTATATACACATATGTATCTTTTATTTATTGTTATGTGCTAGATCAACTGATAGGGGTCTAAATTATTCTCTGCCCTCAAGGAATTTACAGTTTATTTAAAGTAAGTAATAAGACAGCAAATAAATTTTGGATAAATTAGGAGTGCTTTTATAGGAGTTCTGAGGGTTGTGGAATTACTTTAAAGTAGGATTTGAATTGTGCTTTGAAGGAATAGCATTTAGGTAGGTTTGCAGAGGAGAAAAGAACATAGGGCAACACCATAAAATACAGAGGCAAATAATGTGAATAGGTCAATTTAATAAGAAGGGAAGGTTCACACTTGGGTATAGTTCTCTAGCCTGGAATAGTAAGTAGGTTGGTGCTAGAGTATGGATGCCTGTGAATGCTATGCAAAATAGTGACTTGACTTAGTAGGCAGTCAGGACCACGGGATAAGTTTCTAGGGAAGGAGCTAATATGTGAGTAGCGTTTTAGGAAAATTAATCTCATAGGAAGGTTAATCCTCACTTCTTTACCTGTGTATAGCAGGATCAGTAAACTATGCCCACAGTGCAGGTCTAGCGTGCGGGTTTTTTTGTTGTTGTTTGTTTGTTTGTTTGTAAAGTCCACTAGCTAAGAATGGTTTTTAATTTTCAAAAGGTTTAAAATACAAAACTAAACCAAAAAGTGTGGTAGAAACTGTCTGCAGCCTGTAAAGCCTAAAATATTTATTGCTTGGTCCTTTACAGAAATATACCAGCTTCTAGTGTAGGTTAGTGGATCTCAAAGTGTGATCCTGCAGCATAGTAGACCAAAGTAGTAGCAAAGTGTAGGCCAGGGGCATAATGTGTCTGTACTCTGTATTTTCTCTTATAGCTTTTATTTCAATATTTCAGGTTCTTACTGTCTTCTATCTAGACAGTTAAAACTGCCTCCTAACCGGCCTTCTTTCTGCCAGCCTTATCCTCCTTAAGTCCATCCTCTACATAGCTCCCTGAGTAATCTCTCTGACCACATGATTCCTTTGCATAAATCTCACTGACCCATCTTGCTTTTTGGAAAAGGTCTGAGTTTCTTCCTGACTTGGCATCCTCCTCTTTGGCCACTCCCTCCTGCCCCATCCCAGTCTTTTTTTTTTTTTTTTTTTTTTACCACCCATGAGCAACATGTAGCAGTTCTAATTGTTTCTTTAAATACATTGTGCTTTTTTACTTAAGCTGTTTGTCTGATGGAATACACTTTGCCAGTATAATTCCTACTCTTTTTTAAATTTTTTTAATGTCTTTATTTTTTTAGTATTTAAATTTTTTTAATGTTTATTTTTGAGACAGAGAGAAACAGAGCTTGAGTGGGGGAGGGGCAGAGAGAGAGAGGGAGACACAGCATCCGAAGCAAGCTCCAGGCTCCGAGCTGTTAGCTCAGAGCCGGACTCAGGGATCAGACCCACAAACCATGAGATCATGACCTGAGCCGAAGTCGACCACTTAACCGACTGAGCCACCCAGGCGCCCCATCCTACTCCTTTTAAAGACTCAGGTGTTCATACCTCCAAGAAGCCTACCCTGATGTCTTGCTTCTTCCAGGCTGTTTTTGATGTTCCTTTCTACTATCATAACGTCCTGTGCTCATCTTTATACATTTACCTGGTTATCTGTGTGTGTGGTCTTCTGTAACGTTAGGAACTCCTTGAAGCTAGGAACAATGTCTTACTAATTTTTTGTACACTGAATACTCAGAACACATTTTCGTTGTAGGTGTTCATAAGTATTTGAATGAATGAATGTTAAAGTGCTTGGCATATAGTAAATATGGACAAACATCTTCGCTGTTTAAATCCTGAAGAGCAGCAGGGTGATATAGGATCATTGCTAGTTAAATCTTTGAGTATAGT